ATCACCAGTACAAAAGTACAAACAACACTTATTGTCGACGGGAATGATAATGAAATTACGAAACTCACTTCTTCTCGCTAGATTCTAGTCACGCTTTTCTTTATGTTTCTCTTTAGTTAAGCAATAAACCCCGTGTGCGGGTCAACGTTCGATGTGGTTCGTTCATGGTCTTGTGGATCACCACACTTGCGATCGATTGAGTGTACCGATGAACAGAAGAAATTTAGAAGCAATATTATTTACAATAGAAATGTAGTGTTTTTGATTTTTTTATATTTTTTATTTGTGGGTAATAATGCTTGAAAATTTCTCCCTTTTTCTTGGAATTGTTCATATAATTTGCTGATTTTTTACTGAAATTTCTGTTCTGAATTAGCCTTCTTAGGATAAGAAAGATACTCGATTGATCAATTGAATTCGTTCCAAACTAAACACAAGGCAAATGTGAAAAACAAACAGTCTGTGCTTTATTCGTCTGACTACCAGAAACAACATTCTATTATGTGTTCCAGCATCGTTCGAGTACACGAAATAAGTAATATTCGTACTAAAATAAAATGGATACGTTCAGTCTTCGAGAGATCTTATATTACTGCTGCGATGTGTCAAAGTGCAAAACGATAATATTATCCAAACCTATAAACGTCTATCTCGTATGTCAATGAAGGGAAAAACAGATATCGATCGTAAGGTTGATGACGCACAAGAACGGGGCTTCGGGACGCCAGGACGGGCGCGATGGAAAACGGAGCGCGTCCCTTGTAATCTCATTAAAAAGTCGTTAACGTGAAAATACTTGCAAATACTGTTTCCGTCGTGAAGAAGAGGGAAAACACGAGACACTGTCTGAGCGACGAGCGAACGCTTAATGGACAAATTCTTCGTCCGAAATGCAGCTGCCAAAGTGTCTGACTATTCGTCGTTTCGACTACTGCGGATGAAACGATTCGCGTGGATCGCATGAGAAATCTTGGACAAACCCTCTACAACCGCAATCAGATATTTTTAATTACCAATGTGTTATTTTGTAGAGAAGTCAGATATAATTTGGGCTATAGAGGGGGTTGAAACGTCTGTGAAATGTGGCGTCATTGTTCGTAAACATTTTTGGAAAAGAATCGACTAATTCTTCTCAACTAATTGATCAAGTAACGTGACACGATTGAAAAATCAGTCGTTAGAATTATTAGTCTATCGCTTTTGACCATCATTGATTAAATTAAGGGTTATTCGTCAGTGATATCGAATTGAAGTCATCGAAAATTTCTTTTTTACATAATCAAACGATGTATCTATTTAGCAATATATTTCTAAAGATTTCTGTTTAAAGTCGACGAAATAATGAAGTCATCCAATAAAATTGAGACAAGTTATTCCAAAGTAGAGAAATCAATTTTCGACTATGAAAGTTATACTTCGCAACAACTTCACAATAAAAAAAAATGCAAGGTATTAAACAAAACAAAAGTAATAATAAAATATCTATTCTCTACAAAGTCCAACAAACTCGTTAATTGTATCACTTTTTATTGATTACACATAACAGCAAAAAAGAAAATTTCATTTTTTTTCACAAAATATTCTTAAACAGTTAAATTGTTTGTACACGTAGAAAAGAAATTTTCGACTCGGAAGTTACCGATGAACAACGATTAACGAATTACGATCATCCATTGCAATCGTATGCGTCGATCGTTATTTTGATTAAAAATTTGCCCAACGTTGGTCGTAGGATATCTCGATGAATTCATAGGTGTATCGTTCGCGATATAAAATTCATTCTAAAAAAAGTGTTTTCTCGGTAAAAAGATCTGAATGCGCGAGGAATGTTTCCAGTCTTCGTCGTGACACGAGTATATAAAAAAGATGCGCGATGGATGGACGCGATTCTGACTAAAAAATGAAAATACTGATCGCGGCTTACGATTAAACCCCCTATGTATAATCCCACGTGTGTCCGAAGTCGCATTAACCATTATCTACGTTTTTGAAAAACACTATCTCATCTTACTATCGATACTTATCATTCATAAATGAATAGCATCAGCTACGTATAATCTGTTCACAAAAATTATTTTACAGTCTCTCACACCAGAGTAGGGGAACATAGAAGCGATCAATTTTCGTCTACCTCCCTGTCTAAGGGCCGCGCCATCAGACTCCGGTTGACGACGCTTAGTGTTCGTGAATGCTTCTATCGCATAACTATTTTCAGAACTTTTCTTCAAACCATAATTTGGGTCACAGAGGGTTGAATCGTTAAAACGAGAACACGATCGCTGGGCACGACGAGGTTTTAATCGGCAGTGTTAACCCTTCTATTTGAAATTTGGCCTTAATCCCTCGAGTTCAATAGCGTGATATCCACGATACCCACATAGACGCTTGCACGAATTTCTTTTTTTTTTATATGAACACCCGGGCATACATTGTGCACTTTACACGGGACGAAAAGGTCTCGTTATATAAAATTTGCAATAATCGAACGTTCTATAATTCTCAATAAAAACGGTTAAAAACGATTGGTAAAAATCGAACGTTCCGCTATCCTTAATAAAAAAATTGGTTGAAAAGCGATTCAACGTTTGAACAATTCACTGAGACACCGACGAAGCGATGAGGGGAAAGAATGATTCTTCGCAATTCATCTTATCTACAGGGTGTCCCTAAAGTCTGAACGCATAGGAAATATCATTAATTATAATCACTTTTCGTCCACATATTAAATACGACTTTTCCTTAATCTCTATGTGTCTAGATTCTAAGGACAACCTATCGAACTTCGCGAAGGGTTAACAATTTTCATCCAGATACGGTGGTTATATAAAAGAAATTACAAGTAGAAAAGTCGCGACACGATCGCAGAGAATTATCGAAAAAATTCGCGGTAAAGAAATTCTCGACGAATTGTTTCATGATGCAACGCGTACTAAGTACGCTGAAAAATTGTTGCGCAACGAAGGGGTCGTCAACCCCGTCAAAATCGAAACTGAAAGAGATAGCCATGTGTTTCGGGCTACCGTGTCGCTTCCATGCGAATAATACTGTCCGAGGGACGTGGTAAATTACAAAAAAAAAAAAAAAATCGATACGATCACACGTCGATCAGCACGTGTGTTCTGATAAAAAAAAAAAAAAAACCAGTTGGTAACGAAAGCAACATCATGGAATGTGTTCGTTTGTCTTCGAACGTGGTAACGGCGCAATATTAATAGATTTTCCTCGCGCGTGCAGGTCGCCAGTCGTTTCCCCGCGATAATAATTCATTCCTGTCGATACGTAGAACAACGCTATCTAAAAGCTTCGCGAGAAATTCTTGGCCGGAAAAATTTCCATACTCTGTCGCGCGTTGTATATACCGTTCCGATACCTTTTAGCGATCGGGACGATTTATCAGCGTCGCGGCATTTTCGAAATAAATTTCTGAAAACACAGGGAAACGTTAGAAAGGAATTCGCGAACCGTGGGAGAGATTCCTGTTCGTCGTGCGCGCGCAATTCGATCTAGGATATATATTTTTCTTCTATATTCACTCTCTCCCCCTCCTATCGCCTCTTCAACGTTGATGCGTCCATTAGAAAAACACTCGGCTACAGACGAATTCGATTCGTTCGACGTTAGATTTCCCTTCGCGGAGAACAGATCTCGTCCTCTCGTGGTTGATCATTTAACGAACTCGCAGCCGCTGGCGTAATTTTTATGCTTGTTTTTCGAATCCATAGCTGATTAACGCTTACATAATTTTACGATTAAAATTTTTTTTTCTTTTCATTCGCATCCGATTGACGATAATGTAACTTTGTCATTTTATGTTCACAGCGAAGTAGTTGTTTTTATGTTTGGTATACATAATCACAGATGTTTATAAAATAATGCTTCAGACTTGTTTTTACAATACAGATGTCTCGACTTAAGTAGTGGCATGTGTGGGTGCGACTGCTTTATTTAACAGTTTTTTTTAACCTTTTGCAAACGGTGTCTAGACATGCTAATTAACACAGAGTTACGCTATACAACGTATATCGTGACATTCTTTAGAAATCATTACCATAAAACAACAATACACATCCACATTGATATCCACGATACATACGTAACGATTCATTGAATTAAAATGAAATCCATGCACTGGATGAAGTCACTTTAGTCTGTGTTGTAAAATGTTGCAAGAAATGCACAAAGAGTTAAATGTATTTAATAAATTTTGTTAAATTTCAGACAACAAAATGGCAACGATCACGACATTATATATTCTCATTTCTATTAAAATTCTGGTGTCAGAATTCAGCGATAGCCAGCTATGGATCTTTTGAAAATTACACACGACTACCAGTCCGTTAATTGCTTCGTTAATAATTATCAGAAGTTGCGTTAATGAGTGACGGAACGAGGACGATGACTGTCGACGATCGACGGTCTCGATCTCGATACTCGAATCCCTAGATCGTCGTTCCCTATCACGGGAGCGAACCTGATCGCGTGGAAAGTTCCAAGAATTCGTACGAAAGTCTTACTTAAGAATCGACTATCTTCTCCTAGAGTAGTACAATTTAAGGACAGCTCGTAAACACGTGTTACTTAACGATATACCTTAGTGATCTCTTGATCGATTAACTCTTCGAGGTCCTGCGGCTGATCGTACGATGACACGAATAAATATACCTTTTTTTTTTATTCGATCGATGAAACGTACGCTCGCTTCGAGACGAGCACAATTTCTTTCGAATTGATCGACATTTTGAATAACGAATGAAGAGTGAATTGTTGAATAAAAATTCGAATTTTAGTTACAGAATGAAATTTTACTCCATGGCGAGACAATACAAATACTTTTGTGTAATGTTTCGAATAAAATTGGCGAATAAATCGTTATGCAGCGGTTTATTCGTCGTCTATTATTCGAATAGAATTTTGCCCCTCTCGACGTTTACGAAACGTTTAAAGAATAATAAAATTAAAGCAAACCAATTGTTTGGTTTGGAAATGTATAAAAATAACAATGTAATTTGGTCTACCAAGCCATATATTCATTAACTTTAGTAATAAATAATTTGCCAACGATGGTTGGATAGAAGCAAACCAGTTCCATCTCCCGGGAACAAGAACATATGCATGTATTCTTCTCAACCAATTTTATATATCATAAGTTTACTCCGCTAACCACATTTACAACATCTATACTTTTGATTTGCATTCACGTGTTCTTGAAGAATGACATTGGATAAGAGGACAATCGGTTCCTCTTTTTGGGAGAAAGAACATACTTCTGTTGGGTTCGTTTCAACAAATTTCGTTTCTACTAGCCACTTTTACGATCTGCATGCTTTTAATTTATATTCGTTATACTGCATTCCTGTAGATCAAAATAACGTCGTTTATGATTAAACAAAACGTTAGACAGACTATATGCTAGAGCATTACTTGAACTATCAAAGTATTTATCGAATTTTGTTTCTTAGCCGATGGTCCTCGAAAAATTAACGATCGAACGACGTACAGTTGTATTAGTAGTGTGTAAATATCTTGACCCAAGCGAATTTCCCCGTTGTGATCCTCCCGCGAAGGAAAGATGGCGGCGGAAATCCCGCCAGGCTCATAACGACGGGCGCGTCGCTTTCGAAACTTCTATTTACAAAACTTACACCGTGACAAAAGGAGAGGGAATTTTTTGCGCGCAGTGTCGAGGCATCGAGGGATCGTTCTCTATCGTCGATGAGCGGAGAATCGCGTTCACGCGACTATGGCATCGATCAAACCGTCGATTTTCCCTCGTCCAAAAGTCTCGGCGTAAAGACAGACAAAATTCTCATCCACATAAAAACTTCGAATATCGAACAACGTGTGAAATCTATCGAATTATTTCTGAGTGATAGAGCAAAAGTTTCAGTGATCTATAGAACGAACTCTAAGAATTAAAAACATCTTGATCATCGAAGCAGGTATTCTGATATCATCTTGTATAAGATTGTCGTTCACAAAATAAAATTAATTGCACTCTTAAGTCGTTGTGTATTTAATTTCGATTACTATATAATTTATGTTATTCGGATATAGTTATTTTGAATGTACAAAAGATGGATGTACACCTTGTTCGTGATTCGAATAAAATTCTGCCCATCTCTGGTCGAGAACTTTTATCCAGACATTCAGAAATTTGTTCGCGAGGAAAAGTCGAGAGCCTGAGTCAATCCTGACGTTTGCAACACGATCGTGGTTTCAGGCTACGCGCAGCTGCCATCGAAGAGACGAAATCGTATAAAGAAAAGTGAGGAAGCGAAGAGCTGATCCTGATCCTGATCCAACGGGAATCAGTCTCGTCCTTTTCGTCTCGAACGAAAGGTTCCTTTCGCTACCCCTTCGGAAAATACTGAACGTGAGTCGTTTAAAATAAATACGCACTGATTGCGAGACTCGTTCCTCCTTAAACTATTGAGATTCGAGGCGAGAGAGGAACACGTGTACTCGTGATCCTCGCTGACAACGAGTTTTGTGACCCTTTGCACTCTCGCGGGTCGGGCTAGGCTTCTCCAGTTTTTGGACAAAATGGAATTGACGATCGCATCGACGTTTCGCTAATCATGATTAACACCTTGTTGGAATTATTATAATGCTTGAGTTAAAATTAATTTTTACTCGTAATAAATGAAGTGCCTTCAAGTTCAAATGGACGTTTGTATTTCGCATTCAACAGTGGAAAAATAAGCGTTAATAATGGTTTCGGCTTGTAACAGTCCGTCAGCATGATGTTGACGATGAATGATCGGTTGGACGCGATCATCTGGGAATGATTAGAATCTCCTGATCTACGATTGTAAATTGCAAACGTAGTTTGTCATCTGGCAATCAATGATGCCTGTCCAATTCTGGTTTCGACTAACCCGATAAATAATGCGAAAGAATATGTTATGCTTAAGAACGCTGTCGCTAAAACAATAATTAAGTTTGAAAATAATATTGGAGGGTGATGCGTACCGATGCACGTGTCTCCAAGATACGTTGGATCGAAGTAGCCTGAGTACGAAGGTCGACGAAACGTGTCCTCGAATACTTGTCGCTTTCACTGGGATATATAGACACAAATGTCTAACTATCTTGAGATAAAACTAATATAAATTGAGTTGGGTGGCTTCGTTTGTTTCATTAGCGATTTTTTGTTCCGAAAATTGAACGTTTCGATTCCTTGCAGGTCTAGATTAGGAAGGAAATATCGAATTGTATTTATCCTAGCTTCCTTAACCCCTTCATGTCCATGATATAGTTCTTAAAATATACTGATAGAATATGTAACATTGTAATGCAAATCAATTCGCATCACAGTTCTGCTCAATTTATATTTTGCTTGCAACTTCATTATATTTGCAATAGAATAGATTGATGTGCAGTGAAAATGAAGAATCTTCACTGTATCTAATTGCACAAAAGGGTTACTTTTAAGTACTTTACACGTACGGCATAGCATACATTATTTGTTGTGTAATTTTATTTCCAATTCGAAAGAGAAAGAAATCTTTTTTTATTCTGCAAGGGGTCGAATTGTAATTTTACAATTAACAATAAAATGTCGCTAATAAACCAAACGAAACCACCGAGTTCTATTCGAACCCATACAAAAGATATTAAAATAAAAAAACGTTAAAGTAAAAACATTACGAAAAGTCAAGGTGCAAGATCGGATCTTCGGTAGTCTACCAATAGAAAATAATAAATAAAAAGAGTGATATTTGTACAGTATCAGATCTCGATATAATCGTTAAAATTGTAATAAGTAAAGACTTTTAGCCAGGGAGATTAGATATTACTAAATAATAATTAGCTAACTACACCGCGATGAGTGATCATCGTTCAATAAATTCAAAACATGTTATTCAACCCTCCAGTTCCTATAGTAATTCTCTTAACTTCTATCTCTATCAAAGTCTAGAAATAAAGAAACTTTACGAAGAAAATAAAAATAAAAGAATAAAACACAAAACAAATCAGAGCTTCGAGCGATCGTTTCGCGAATAAAAGTATCGAAATAGACGTTAAATTGCTCACCGGAACGCACTTGATCCAGCGAGCTACCAATCTTTTCACATCGTATGCCAAACAAAAAGCTGCCCATCGGAACCGAAGAGTTAACACTAGATTTACGAAGGTTCTAATCGTCATCGAATTTGTTGCTGCATTGTTCTCTTTCATATTTATAACTAGACTGCGAATGTTTATGAAAATAAAATCTTTGCAAACGCAACTATAAAAATTGTACGCGAATAGAAGTTTATTCTACTCTCCAAATATTATAACATGAGTTTTGCTTTCAATATTTTTTTATATTATTGCATACTATTTTGTTATTTCTTGCACAAAATTCTCAGTCTATTTATCACGTTAATTTTCTTTTCAGTCGCGTCCATATCTATCAGTGAAGAAATTTAGATTTATGCCTCTTCATACGGATAAAAGTCAGCAAAAGTGGTCGGCGAAAAATGTAAATGGTTTCTGCAAGGTTTCATGTGTAATCCGGAATGTGTCGAAATGATGGTGCTCCGTAAACCTAGTGTTACTCTACCAATCTAGATCGCTCTCGATGATCATGCACCGACAGCGTAACGCAGTCTGATCGCAACTAAAATTCCACGCGTCTTAAACAAAATATAAAAAAGAAAGAAAAATTATTTCAGCCCCAGCGATTGATTCCTGTTCGAATCGGAATTATTTCAAATCGTCCCACGATCTTGGAGCAACGCGTTGTGTACCGCGAATATAATCTCTCAACGTGAAAAAACAGCGCAAAGGGTCGCCGAACCGAATCGAGGAGCGTCGACAGCTTTTTCCCGCGTCCGAGTAAGGAACGATCGTCGCAGGACGAACCATCCTTAAACGGGTGTGTCCGTCTTTTCGTCCTTCTTCGGCTCCTTGACGTCCGTGCGGCCATTCACGTATTCCGTGCTCGCGTGTATCGGATTCTCCTGGCCACCCTGCGGCATTTTCTCGTCGATGATACGCGGGTCTTCGTGATCCTCTTCGTCCTCGTCCCCGGGGGTGATGTGCGCCTCGCTTCCTGCGCCGACACCGCTCGCAGCTTCCTCGTCGCCTCGACGCCTCGCTGCAACAAGCAACGCCACGATCGGTCAAGGCAAAAGTGTGTGCGTGTGTGGTGTATGTGTGGATTTCTATTTTTCTCTTTGGTTTAGTTTTTTTAAGTTTTTCTTTTCTCCGCAATTTTTGTTTTAGTGTTGTTACGCATGTCGTTCTTTGTACGCTCGGTTCTGAGTTAGTGTTTCCCGATCTCGAGGATGATCGCTTCGCGTTACTTCTTACTGCAGGGCTTCTTAAACATTTCCTACCACCTATTTTTAACCCGATTATCCGATTGAATGCAACTGAATTCTACGCAGACTATTTTAGAGACCATTGCGATGAGGATATTAATTTAATTTGTAGTAGTAATTACGAGTTCGAATACTTTGATTTGTTTAAGTAATAAAAAACTTGTTTTATGCTTTATTGAACCCTGACACGACTCCGTATAGGGGAAAGTTTAAGAAGCTCTGAGTTCTATTTTACGATCGTTTCAAATTTTTCTTTTGTTCTGGTATCTTGTAAAAACGTGCACAAAGGTTGCGTCTTTTAGGCGTTCAGCAAACGCGCGAGTTTCGCACAACGTAAATATAACGTAATTCGTCTCATGTCTGTCTCTGTCGATAAACCCGGATCGTTAACCCATTGAGTACTAACTAATCGGTTTTTATTCGAAATGAATGTTCACTTCCAATAAATTGTATAATAAAAATATTCTACTAATAAAGAAAGAAAATCTTGTCGGCAAAGTTAGACATGTTCTATAAATAAGACACTGGCAAATATTAATCTCTAGACACTAGATACAATATAAAATAACAGATGAAAGTGCTGTAATCTGCTACGTCTACTTTCTATTAATATAAAATTATAATAATGTAACATTGAACTAGTCTTATTCATTAAAATCTGGGAATATTCCAGACCAGGAGAATCAAACAAATTATTCCTTGATTCGTAATACATTGTAAAATGGTTGAATTAAAATTACAGACAACATTACTCAAGTCTTTAATCTTCGACTTTATAATAATTGCTATTCGAATAAGTTTCAGCGCCAGTAAATAAATATTTCATCCGACCGCCTACGAAACGAGGCATTGGTACTCGATGGGTTAATGAAGCACTGATTCAAATGACATTTTACGATGAATGAATACTTTCCGTGGCTGTGTCCCCGTCGCGTTACTCGGGCGTTTGGATTCGAGCGCGAACCAATCGATCATCGAAGCGGTTAATAATCATAACATTCACAGGCAAGTCATCGCACTAATGTATATTTCAATCCAAGCAAGGTAAACGTGAACGGACGCGAACGTGACAAAATTGGAACACGTGATTAGCTAATTGTCGGCTAAAGTAACGTACACATCGAAATTCGTGTTACCAGGATGAAAAGATAATCTGTAGGTTGTCGAGCGGATTCAGAGCTGGAGCAGAGTGGTTTGGTATACAGATGGGCAAAATTCTGCACTGATTAAATGTCACGAATGACGAATAAAGAATAAACAAAATTCGTGTCCACTGCGAATGAAATATTTATCATTAATTCTAATTGTAAAATTACAAATATTTCACGGTGGACAAAGATATAGCTCGGTCGAATAATTAACTACTATATATATTATTTGGTATTTGATATCGCGGGGATAAAATTTTGCCCATCTTTGAATACGAGCATGCTTGATCTAAATCGAGGTAAAAGAGGACACGGATGTCCTAGCTCTAATCGGGCGGGAGGATATTGTCGCGGGAGAAACGGGCGGAAAAGCGAATCGAAATAAAGAAAATTAAGATCGAGATGGGAAACTGGATTGTTCGACTTCGAACAAATGTCACCACACTTGCCTTCGCCGATTATTTAACGTTGCTTGTCGCAAAAGGAAACGCTCTCTACGCGCCCCCGTGAGGCTTGGAACTTACACGAATCGTCCCGTCGGGAATTTGTTGAACAAAGTGTTACTAGGAACACACCGAGTCAGTGTTTTTCAAATGTTTTTCATCGCGACCTAGCGATCGAATCAAACACTCGTCCAGTCTTCATTGTTCTTTTTTCTCTTTTTAATTTGCAGGTTCGTTTAATTCGTGAAATTCACGCTTATGGGAGAACTTGTACTTTTCTGTTTATTTTCTCTTGTTTCTTTCATTTTTTTTTTTGTTTTTTTTGGGGGGGTTTAAATACGAGCATACTTCGGTTCGTTAACAAGCTACAGACCGTTCGGCGATTTCTCATTCGATTTTCCCCCGGTAGCAGTTCGCCGTGGTAAACTTTTTTCACCCTGCTGGAAATTAGTTTCCTCTCCGTAGTAGGCCGCAAGGAACGAAGTTTGAAAAACACTGCGTGAATAATGGTGAATGCGATATAAATTAGGTACTATATATACATATGTATTAGTACATGCAGCGGAACTCGTAAGCACAGACCGTACATGCACACAAATGATCGTAGCATGTATTGATCGAACGAAGTCAATTTTAGAAGGTCTTTTTTTTTTTTATCTTGGACAATTTCGAAACGTTGATAACGCTTTATCGACTGGGAATCTATTTATTGGTTTTTAATTACCTACGCGAATCTGTTAAGTGCATTGTTGGTTGTCTATTGACAATGCGGACAATAACACTATATAAAAATTAATGTCAACCTGGATTAATGAATACTAACGTAGAAAATCTTCTAAATTGAAGACGGTGTTTAAATGTGCCGATAGTTGAAGCGTTAATTTCCATTCCGAACGAGATTTCAATTTCGTTTCGTGAGATCGACACCCTTCCGATGGAGCGAATATTTGATATCGGCGAATTTTCATAAGTTTAAATTAAATTTCAAGTGTTCCTCGCGCATATATTTTTTTTTTATAATTTCCTAATTGAAATTCATATTGAGAAAAAAGAAATAAGTAGAGGTGATTTGTGGTTTCAGCTTTCGTTTCTATAAATCGCGTTATCGACTTTACGAGTACGTAATTTTCCAAAAAAATATCGGTTAGAAATGTGAGCGAGCGATAAACGGATCATTCCGTGCAATGAAAGTTTGATTTGTTCATTCGTCACGCAGGCCTCGCTTATACGGTGAATTTTCGCCACGAATAATCGAATACCCCGTCTCTTTTTTCCCCTTCCTTTTACATATTATCGGGAAATTCGTACGGTTTTTACCCCGCGGCGGTGGTTCGATCGGAAATGAATTTAAAAAATTTATGGAAAGCAGCGAAATCAGCGAAATCGATCGCCCGCTGGAATATATCCCCAGTTCGAAAGAACGATATATAAACGTATATTTAAAGCCATTTCAGCTTTTCACGCAGTGGTTTCCAAGAGGATAACGTTAAAAAAAAACTGTCAATGGAGTTTTATCGTGCACCTCCGAATGAAAAATAAACATTTGTTACTGAGCGATACATTTTCCCACGGATTAAACTCGTTTTGTTCATTTTTATAATGAAAATATCGATTCAATTTGATTCGAATAAAACATTTGAGAAACGTACATTGGCTAGAACGTATTCGCACGCGGTTTTATGGTAAATGGAAGTATCATACATTGTTTATTTCGATGCGCGATGAATAAGTTACCGTATTTTTTTCGCGGATTCGCATTTATCTTGTAAAATTGACAGATTTTTCTCTATTCATTGAAATTACATCGTTATTGGTATTTCTTATTTTATATGTGAAATATTTCTTTCTTCGATCGAGTCAAAAAGCAAGTTGAGATTTAAAAACGTTCCTGAAATGCACAGCGGTTACTATATATTTATATACAGTTGTTTCTAAAAGTAAATTGAGGACCTTTCATTTCATGTGTAAGAAACGATCCATGTCTATTCGTTAGACAATATCTCACGCGAAAACTGTTACGTATTCTTCGATACACTTCTCGCGCGTTTTACATCGGGAAATTTACGAATTTCTACAAATTGCATAAAACAAAAAATGTTTACAAATAGGGTAGGAAAGTTTCGAAAAATTGGCTTGCCAAGATACGTCTCTACCATTTAAGGGGGCACACGCTGGAGTACAGGGTGTGCAATGATTGAAAGTGTTTGTTCGTCGATGAATCGGGACGAAAACGTGAGATGGCCGAGGATTTGATAAAAAATGATCGCGAGAGGGGGGAAATAAGTGGCGAGCATACGAGCTGATGATGAACGAGGAACGAGCAAATACTTTGCAGACGGGGGTTGTTTTTGCTGCCTGAGGTGACTTACCCCTGGACAGTGTCATGCCTAGAGTACGGAATCGCAAGGTAATTGTTGATGTTTCTCCATATTCTTTACTTGGCCCGACTTGCATGCTGTCCTATCGGTAGCGGCACAACACACAAGACATTTGTATACATACAAATATATAGATGTAAAACAATAGGCATTTAATTATTAAGGTGGCGTACAGCTGGCAGAAATCGTTTTGCTCTCTAGAACATTACCTATCGCACACACGTCTATTTCAGAGTTAAACGTCACTTCTCCCACGTGGTAACATTTTCTTGTTATTTTCTTGGAACGTAAGAATAGAATTTTCCAAACGAATTGTTTCTACACCGGTGATTTTTTCATTGTATCATCGTGTTTGTGCCAAAAGAAGTGGTAAGTTTGACCACTTGGTAAAAGTCTCACGGACAAGAGAAATACGTACGAGCACAAATCTAAACATGTGATTACGTGCTACGTGTTTATTTCTCGTCGATATAGCAGGAATTCTTCAAATTGTTTCATTCTATCGTATCCTTTAGCAATTATTCCGATTTGAATCGTCTATCGAACAGAGAGCAAATTTCTTGATTTAATTTCACTCGGTATTACTCTTTTCTTTCAAGAGAATGCTCGAATTGAAGGAATCTCGATTCACTCTAATTTATAGCACTTCAATGTCTCATTATTATCTATGAAAGTTCTCTACTACATTCTTGCAATTAATTTAAAGTCCAAAAAATAATTTCTTGAGAAGGATAGATAAAGCTCGAATTCGATTACACAATATTAGAATTCCTACTGTTGTACATTTTTCTTCATCACTGTATGCATAATTGAATGTCTATCGAACACATTGATTTGCTGCATTCTGACTTGTCTCAAACCCTGCACCGTTCGATAAACAAAAACAAATATAATAACTCAACGGCGAGAAGTATCAGCTACAAGGCGAACGCTATAAAAACAAATTAATTTCATACATGAATAATATCGGGATACCTACGGCTAAACATTAAACTCACTTTTTATACACCGATGTGGAGTGACACAAAGATAATAATAAAAAAAAATATGTTATCATGTATGTATTATCTATGTACTTTGTTCGTGCAACTAATTCTCTCTGTCGGCTCGTAACAAGGAGAATTGTTTTGCATTTCACAAATACTGATCCTGTTTCAAGTAAAATTACATTAAGTCGGGTTATTATCAAATAACGTATTATTCTATTGTTCGTATGTAATTAAACAGCAAAAGTACACGAAAACTCGCCAAAAGGGAAGGGAATACACGTGGCTCGGACGGAATAATTAATGAAAATTGTTTAATCGATGTGTACTCACCTGCGAAGCACCAGCGTCCAGTCGCGCGGGCAAAAATTAGTAGGAAAACGATGAGAATTAGCACCAGGGCCCCAACGACGATGCCGATGATGGAACCAGCGTCTAAATCAATGTCTGAAATTTCATAGTAAACTATTTTGAAACTTGGGAATTTTAAACAAATTTTCACATCGTCTTATCTAAGCAATTTAAATTCATTTGATCCCTGTATTACTTTCATAACATAAAATTGTCCATGTAATCGTGTTCATTTTTATAAGTATTTTCTCATTGTAAACAAAAAAAAGTTGAAAACTAATTGACTTGATCATCTGTGAAGAATTCTGATTTGTAATGTTGTATATGAAACGGAATTTATATGCTGTATTTTTCGTAATTTGTATAGTGAATTGTATGTAAACAAATATTCGTTAGTATACTAATTAGTATAGCTGTATAGTGTTCTATACAGTATTGGAATATTACATAGTAATACACAGAGTGTCCCTAAAGTATGGATATACAAGGAATCAAAAATATTTTTCCAGACATGATTACAGACTTTGGGGACACTCTGTAGTGTTCTAATTTCTTTAATTAGAATACTAATATTGTACTCAAAATGTGGATCCATCATGCGCCAATAACATAATGCGACTTTTAATTTCGTGACATTACAAAAAATTGGAAAAAGCCAGCCGTGACGAAGCTTTAACATATTCCAAAGCCAATAACACTATGTTTCATTATATTCAATGACAATATAAATATATTTTAATATGATTGTATCAACCGCCAGCAGCTTCGTATGTTTAAATTTCATTTTCTTTTGTTCACGAAAACGAGGAGAAGCCAACTTTGGCGTAGCTTAAACACTCTTTCAAGAAACAACAAGTACTGAATATACAGGGTGTCCCAAAAGTCGGGGAGGAGCCGGAAATGGGGGGTAGCTGAGACGATTCTGAACAACAATTTCCTTTGCAAAAATGTCGGATGGGGCTTCGTTAAGGAGATATTAAGAGAAAACCCCGACCAATCAGAGCGCGCGTAGACCGTTGGAGCGGCCGCGGTAGCGAAGGCTACGCGCTAGGCAGCCGCGCCCAATGTCCTTCGATGCACGTCGAGTCACTTGTTCGCGTGCAAGCGCGGCCGCCAGCGCGTAGCCTTCGCTACCGCGGCCGCTCCAACGGTCTACGCGCGCTCTGATTGGTCAAGGTTTTCGCTTAATATCTCCTTAACGAAGCCCCATCCGACATTTTTGCAAAGGAAATTGTTGTTCAGAATCGTCTCAGCTACCCCCCATTTCCGGCTCCTCCCCGAGTTTTGGGACACCCTGTATATGTATATGCATACTGTGGAACGTTAAACAGAGAATTGCAGAACAAGCGTGAGTAATATCGCGCAGTGAAAATGAAATATATTCGAGAGGAGTCACCAAAAGCGTTTGAAGCCTTTTGCAATTTCCACACGGTCGACACGAGATGAAAACTAATTCTGATGCAGAAATGTGCAAAGAAATCAGTGCCGGTAGCATGTGTTTAATATCGAGTAAGCGTCAATTCATATAGAGGCAATCGCACAGAAATTTGTTCGCTTTTTGATCAGTAATATAGATCTGCCATTCGCGGTTCCAGTGATAAGGATAATAACGTTACGCATACTCATGCCCAGTAGCGCCGAGTTCCATTCATTCGGTTGCCATGAATACAGTCTGATTTTTTTAAACGAAAGAACAGTATAGAACGTGCGAAGTGAATAACATTTATAAATATTGATTTCAACAACACTCGGTATAGATGATTATCGCAGTTAAATGGAAATGGTGTGTACTGTTCATATTATTTTTATTATTTTCGACTTCCTGGATTTCAGAATAAATTTTATAAATGAATGCTAATTCTTTTCTGTAGCATAAAGAGACTTTAGTGTGTGTGTGTGACTTACAAAAACCATGTTTCAAAGTGACACAGAATATGTTCCATACAATAATGTAATATTAATATTTAATTTTTCATAAATGTACGTACACAGCCTGGGTTCCTTTAACGTATGTTTTTCATATTTGCATACGCCATGAATGCATAAAATTCACGGTCTCGTAACGAAGAGTACCGATGCAACCAATAATTTCTGAATTTAAATAAAAAAATTAATGTAATTGCAGCGTTCGTTACTTTTAATACAAACTGCAATAAACATCTTTTCACAATGCGTAATAATAATTCACGTGTCTGAGTTCGTAATACATCGCGTCTAGAAAATTTTATTACAGAAGAAAAATGACGTACATCGATGAAATTGTTCTAGTTACATGATACCTTAATCTTGAAAATTTGTTGCTACCACTTTTCACCGAATTTATTCACAAAATATTGTCGATGAAAATTGCAGTCGACAGAAAAAGACTCAGTGACAAGGAACGTGATAAAAGATTCAAGCTCAATCGCGTTCTCTGAATAATAAATGGTTCATCGTAACCCATCATTTCCGGTTGTATGGAACTCCACGCGCAGGCAACTACATCGACTACTCACGTATAATAATTTGAAAGAATGACATTACCTAGTGCGTGCACGTGTTCGGAGAGCTTACCAAAGAAGTGAACGAACCCTGCCCCTGCGTGAGAGCATGCGATAAAGGATCGATATCGTTAGAAACACACAGCACACGTACATGTAACACACAGAAATAATCTAATTCACGTGTTTCGGCGAAACCGAAAACATAGTGACGATCGACAGTACGTGAAGGTGACAATGAACGTGACGTGATTCGATAGACAGCGTGTGAGAATGCACGATTGAATGGAAGTGACGAACACGAAGTGCGTGAACTAGCATGATCGACAACTACCAGTGAATTCAGATCATTTTTATTATCACCCCTTTGCCCCGTGATACTAAACGTTCGCTAGTGATCTGACGTTTAGTTGGAAAACTATTTTCTTTCGCGTACTTCTTTTTCCTTCAACCCTTGGCCGGTAGAATATGATTATTAATTTTTTACAAGGCGAACAATTAGATTTTGCGAGGGCCAAAAATGTTCTATCTTGGAACACAAATCCAAAGCCCAAACCACAATTAAGAATTAAAAATATGCGCTATCTGTCGGTTATAATAAATTTAAAGACACATCGTTTGCTGGAATATTTATGCCTGTTTATCAGTTAAGAGTTGAAGGTTTCATTTATTTTATCTCGATAAATGTAACTTATTCTTTTCGTTTTTCGAACTTTAACGTCACGTAAAATTCGCCATGTTTCGTACTCTATTCTGGTGCAAAGTGTGAGCGAGTGATTTGCAATACTTTGGACGTGAATATTTCGACAATTTTACCTGCTGGTTCTGTGGAAGTCGACAAAACGATACGGTATTCGGAAGCTCCTTCGTCGTTGCGAGCTTCCAGGATGTACTCCTTGTCCGTGTCAGATTTCTGAACGCTGTCGATCGTGAGGATCACGCTCCACGCTCCTCTTCCCTGCAACAGCAAATTTCATTGCGTCGTTTGAGCCAGGAATTCTAAACGGAGAACAATTCATTCGCCCAGCGAGCCACGAGTAAAAAGTTTAAAAGAAATGAGAAGCTACCGTGAAAAATATTACCATACTCTTGTACTAATAGTTACTCTATATAATATAGTTAGAACAGATATAATGTATAATGATTTTTGGTCAAACGCAACGGGCACGAAATCGTATAAAATTATAATTTTCACAAAATTAAAGTTTGCTACTTTGAGAATCGTTAAGAATTAAGAATCTATCCCATTTGATTAATTATCTAAGTTAATTAAACTTCTCTTTCATCTTTAGAGTCTGATTGGATTAATCTTCTACAACAACTACATATTGCAAGTATTTATTCGAGTTAACTAGTAATTGTTAATAAATAATCTTCGGAAAGCACACTCGTGCCACCAATAAATTGCTCCTTAAATTTGTTTTCCTATCGGTTTCTGGTGTCGCCAAGAATAAAGAATCCTTAGACTCACCTGATTCTTAATTATAATGCACAATACTATTACTTTTAACGAACAAGCAATCGTTCTACATTTCGAATCCCATGTTATTAGATGTACATACAGGACGCGTAATTTAGGAACTCAAAGGGACGTTTCTAGAGCTTTCTTGCAGATATAACGGTTTCACCTATTGAAACGATTCCGATAATCGAATTATTTCAAGCGATTGCCTCTGCCGATTTGTAGCGTCCGGATTCGAAGGAATTTCATTAAGTCCCTTTGATTAGCGAGAAACTTTCAAGTCAACGCTATTGTAGTAAAAATGCTAAGTGCACCGTAGCAAATCGATGCTCTGGAATGCGGTACCTTTGTCCCATTACCTTTAAACTTGTCCCCATCTATTTTTCGTTCGTTCCCCAGTGTGACCATCGGTACTTGAAATCCGTATTTAATCGTTTGCAACGCTATCTGGCTCTCTGTCGCGATGCTATTTCTATATTTATGTAATTGCACGTCCATTTTACTAAATTTATGGATACAGGGTGTTCGGTAACTGGTGATACGAGTGAAAAGGGGACGATTCTACGTGAAAAAATAAGTCGAAAATGTGAAATACAAATTTTAACTTACCAGATCGACAGCGGTCGAGGTTTCGATTCGGTTGCTTTCGTCGGGATGACCCTCGGCGATCTTTTCATCGTTTACTCGCCATAAGAAGTGAGGTCTAGGATTCGCATAAACGGTCACGTTCACGATCCCCTCGCGTCCAATTACATATCCAAAACGCTCGATGTTTGGCTGCGGTTGTGGAGGATCTGGTAAAAATGAACAACAATCGACGCTTCTGTCTTAGGAAAATTTAGAATCGTCACTTCTAATTCAATCAAACTCGTAAAAACTTCGAGTGAAAAGATTTAATGCTTTGAGAACGTGTTTCCTATTTATGTATAGACAAGATAGTTGATTGCTTTCTATTCTTCCTATACTTTTATTTATTACAGATAAAGATGTATCGATATCGCTTTCAAATGGCGTTAATTTTTTTTCATAAATACTACGAATTAATTTAATCGAGATATAATCAAATTTAAGGTTGTACGGGGTTATCAAACGATTCCAGAATCCATATTTGAAAAGAAGATTTTAAGAAATTGTGTTAAATGAAATTTCTGTCGACGAATTGAATTCTATCTGTTCTGTTTTATATTGTTCACTCGGATTTCCTGACGAATTCGAAATTACAGTGTTAACGAAAATTGTGCTGCTTACAGAATACTTGCAACTGCATAGTCGTTTCCTTAGGCCTGTCAAGGGCGATGTGACTTGCAACGCAACGAAGAACTTTGCCATTATCGGTCCAATCCAAGCTTCGCGTGGCATTCTGCACGGCCAATGAGATGTCGTCTACGTTCGAGTCGTAAATCGTGGGTCTCTCCTCGTTGCCAATGGGTTCATCGTCTGATTATTAGAAACGGGTATATATAATACGCACTTGACATTAATTGAATCAAAAGATTAGAAAGATTTTCTATTAGATATATATTATAATTTCAAATTGCTTTATTTTCTTTTGGATTCTCTACAGTGAATATTCAAAATGTCGACCATGTTATTTCATCAATTTTAAATTAAATTTGAATTTACGAAATTTTGTACTACTGCGGCAGCTTTATACCGAGTTTCTTCGTTAATATTTTACAATTAACAATATTTATTCGATCATATATTCTTACAATATATATATATATATATATATATATATATATATATATATAT